CCGTCTTGCCTCATGGCCATGACACCATGAGCAACCAGATGGAATGGGAAGGCAGATGGCTGCACAGGCTCTTAAATAGGGCTTATTTTGGGGGGTAAGGCTTATATTCAGTGCATGCATAAAAACATGCTAGGGCTTATTTTCAGGATAAGTCTTATTTTCAGGAAAATTGTGTTTGTGTGTATGTAGTGTGTGTGTGTGTGTGTGTGTGTGTTTGTGGATGGATAGGTAGGTAGGTAGGCAGGCAGACAGACAGACAGTGTTGTGGTGCACCAGCTGCCAGCAGACAGTGAGGAGGTTGGGGAGGAATTTGGGCCAGTCCTGGAGTCTGGGGAAGGCTCTGATGGATGCTCAGCATCGAAAGCAGAGAGAGGGCCAGGGCTGTCTGACATTTCCCAGCTGCCTATGGAGTCAGAGATAAGTGGGGAAGAAGAACAGCTGGAGCCTGTTCCAGATGCATGTATGCACAGAGCTGTCAGGAGAGCAGAACAATTAAGGAACAGGGGCCAACTTGGAAGGAAAGGCACACATGGACATTGAATGGCCCCTCCCTAAGGAATAAATAGAAGCAAATGGGGAGTGGTGGTTGCAGGAGACAATTAGTTCATATTTCTTTTGGAAGATTTGCTTTTCAGAGTTCATGCCTCACAGAGACTCCTTGCCAGGCATTTAATTTATAGCTTTGTAACAGGAAGCTCTAGGCCTGGCAACTACCCAAGGACTGCTAAGGTCTGTTCTTTCAATTAACCCTTGGGAGGATTATTGCCAGGACTTTTCTGTGTGTGAATGCCATGAATTCACAGTAACTAAATAAAGAGGGGGTTTTTTTCGGGAAAAAGAGTCTGCTTCTTGGTTCTGCTAAGCCTGGGTCAGGACAGACAGACAGACAGATAGAATAGATAGAGATATGGATAAGATATAGATATATAATCTCAGAGATTCTCTTAAAACAATGAAATTGGGGTGGGTGCTGCAATCTAGGGTTCTGTTTGAGAAGAGAATGGCTGCTTGGGGGGGATAAATCACAGAAATAAGGCAAGGTGGGCAACAGAATCCCCAAATGCTAGTACAGTAGGTTGACCTTTTGTTTGCCATCATCTAGTCAATGAGTGTTTGTGCTGCTGGTCACCATGGCAACTACTTTATGAGATTGCTCTCATGCTCTCTAACTTTCAAATGTGTCCATTAGTGCCCAAATGCTGGGGCACTAATGGGCAAATACATTCATTGGAGACACTTCACATATGTTGCCAATGGCTGAGTAATCAAGCAACATTCCTACATAGAAGACTCTTTACTCATGGACAGCAACTTCTAAAATGGATTCCACATGTGGAAATCACTTCTTCAGGTGAAATGCCATAACTCACAACTTTGATGCCATCTCAAAGACATTCCCCGTCGCTATGCTTTCCTATCACAGATTTACCTGCAGATATTAAAAACAGAGGAATGGCTGCGGATTAAGGAGGAGGAAATCACTATAGATGCTATAGCTATTCTTGTCATCCACCTCTCCTATTTTGGGGGCTGCAGCTTCCCGAATTCTGAGCCAGAATAATTTAACTCATGCATCCTGATAAGTCTTAATATTATTATTTCTTTTTGGTTTAGTGTGCTGCATTTTTTTTTGTCCTGTTCAATCACATTCTATTTTGGGAGACTGCCTGGAGTTTTCTTGGCAAGAATTTTCAGAATTTCCTAGAGCTGAGAGAGAGTGACTGGCACATGATCATCCAGTTGATATTGTGTTTAAGGCAGAACTTGAACTCACAGTCCCCTGGTTTCTACCCTAGTGCTTTAACTTAGACCCAACTAATTGTAGCTAACTTTAACAAGGTACAGGTTAGCATCCTTTGGTGGTGTCATGGCGTTCATTATATACAAAGGAATGGGTGAGATGGGGCCTTGAAGCACAAATATTGGCCACTGTTTTACTCCTCAGGAAGCATCTACCATACAAGCCAAGTTCTATCAATATGGAGTATCATTTTAGTGCTGATGATAAAACTTATGCCCATCCTAATATTCAACCTATGAATCTGGCTCTATCCAAGAAAATGGATGGGATATTAGATCCATCCATCCTTTCATTAGCCTCCCATTCCCTTTTCTCATCCAAATTCACACCAATATTTATTTTATAGAGAGGCTTCGCTTAAGACCTACCTCAAGCCCATTTTTAATTGCATTATTTTATAAGGTTGGCAAGTTAATTGCTCTACAGTATCAGAGGAGGAGATTAAATAGTGGGATCCAAGTCCTGAATTTCTGAATTAGGAAATTAAAGAAAAATATTTAAAAGGACTTCTTATTCTCTGACAAGTGCTGGTTTGTGTTACTGTTTTATTTAAATTTGTGATATCATCCCAAAACATCCACATTGAGATATGGTAATATGTAAATGCATTTAATTCATTCATTTCTGGAACAAGTAAGTGACAGAAGCGTATTTGACTGAAAGTCGTTATTTGTTCTACTTTTTACATTTATGGTCTTTATAATATTTAGGTCTTTCTTTTTTATAGCCTGTCAATAGTAATATTATTCAAACTGTGGAACTTCTTTCCTAATGTAGCTCCACTGGTGTCATTTGAAGCTATTTTCTGCAAATTAGTAATATTTTTACCTTAATTTGTTCTCAATATATTCTCTGTTCATTGGTTTTACCATTTTATCAGATATTTAACCTCATCACTCTAAGCTGTTTATGTGTTAGAAAGGTGAGAAGACATTCTTCTCTTAAGCAGAGTATCTTTGAACATCTGCATAGTTAGTGGCAATTTGGGTTATTTTGAAGTGTCCTTCAAAGATTTGTTGCATATCTAAAACCTAAGGGTCTTTTTCAATTAAGCAATAGCAAAAGTATGATAATGTGATAATGACTCTGACTATAAAATGAAGATTGAAGTAGGCCCATGACTAGCCTAATTATGTCACAGATCTATTTTCCAAATGGCACTCAAGTGAATAAATGACATTGAATATCAAAAAATAGACAGAAGTTTTGCTCTTCACCTTAAAAGCTACTCAAGACACAGTGAGAAAAAGTGATATGGTTTCAAGCTTTAATGTTCCAGTTACCTCTGGTGAACATTAATTCCACTCTGGAATTTTGGAGGTATGTGCTGATGTTCTTGAGCAATGCATGGGATTCTCATTCCCCAAATTTTACAGTTGGAAGAAATATGGCTACTATAAGAGACATGGGAACATTGGCTAAGACCTTGTGTGATCTCCAAACGCCTTCTTTGCAACTCCAGATCCAACTATGACCACTTTTGCAAAACAAATGGAAAATATTGCTCCATTATTATCACGTGAGGAACTCAGAAAAACACCAGAAAATTAAGTAACATATGAGTAAATGTATAATAATTTCAAATAAAAACATAATTTCCTTATTCAACTATGTGGTGCAATGTTTTAGATTGGCAATTTTAAGATTGGGGGACTTGCCATCGCTGGCTGAGGAATTCTGGGAGTCGAAGTCCACAAGTCTTAAAATTGCCAAGTTTTAGATGATGTTTTAGATGGTAAACTATTTAAAAACTGTCAGGAGTTTCAAACTGGGTATTCTGGTTGGGCAGCTCTGGAATTATTGGTTTATCTTTCTAACTTGTGGAAGTGATGATCTATTAAGGCTGAGCTCTGATTGAAACCATCAATAGAACTCATTTAAAGGCTGTTGTGCAAAGGTCCAGGGACTGGATCCAGGCCATGGGGTACTTTAGATCTGGCCCTTAGGGCCACCCTGGAAATGGTGAAGGACCAGCCTGTGATGCCTCTGCCAGTGAAAATGGAGATTGGGAGGGCCGCATATGGCCCTGTTTTCGGCTGTGACGGCCTCATGTAATCCTCTGCCAGCAAAAAGGGAGCTCTGTGTTCATTGGCAGAGGGCTGTAGGAGGCCATAATGGCTGAAAACAGGGCCCAGGGGGACACATATGGCCAACCTGAGTTCTGTTTTCACTGGCAGAGGGCTGCATGAGGCCACTGCGGCTGAAAACAGAGCTCAGGAGCCCGTTTTTCCTGGCAAAGCACTTGGGCCACCACAGGAACCCGCAACATGAGTGATGTTTTTTTGTTGTTGAAAATTTTATTTGGGTTTTCACAAAAAAAAAAACATAATACAAATAAAACATCTTTTTTTGAAAATAGCGTGGTCCTGGGTTATCACTTCTTCATACAGACACAAACTCATTTTCATGCTCATTTTTTGTGTTCTATTCCATATTACTGTTTTACATTTTCTACATAGTTTTTCCCCTCTTTTAATTTTCTCAACTTTATTTTGATTATCTCATCTCAATTCAAATCATTATATTTATACTTTTGTCTGTCCTGTTTCAATTTCATATTATCTTTTCTCTTTAAACAAATTTTCCCCTGTAGTTACTAATTGGAGTATGACACCTTTATATCTTTTAACTTTATCCATTCAACTCTTATTTAAGCTTCAATGTATACCTTTAAGATTATAACATTCAATATAATACATAACTTCCAATCGAATTCTGCTTGGTACATTCTTAAAATACACACTATATTCTTAAAAAAAGATGATGTGATGTTAAGCTAGCCATGCCCATCCTGGCCCCTGAGGTCAAACACAACCCTGATGCGGCCCTCAGTGAAATCGGGTTTGACACCCCTGCTGTAGTGAAATAGAGTAATGTTGTTGGAGCAACCCCAGGAAGATCAGTTTCAAATTTATCCTCAACCTTGGGAGCTTCTTCGGTGCCTTTAAACCAGTCAACAGCTAACTTAGGATAGTTGTTCTTGGTTAAAATAGGAGGAGGGGACGCTATATATGCCACCGTTAGCTGTTGTATGAAAAGTGGGATATAAATTTAATGAATACGTAATCATGTAATTCCTGAAGGACTGATAAATAATTCTCATCCAGAGGACAAAGCTCTCCGAAATTCAAGGAACTAAGCCATACAAATTCTTTCTGGTTTGGTTTTGTTCTTAAAATGTTTTGGCATTTCTCCTCAGCTGCATCACCCTTCCCAGGGGTTTCGTTTCGGAACTGTGAAAGAAAGCAGCTCTGAAGAATATTTCAAGCAAAGCTTTCCAGATATGCATGAATACATGAAGCGGTTCAATGTACCTGCAACTCCCGATGGAGTGGAATACTTGAAGTAAGTAGGCTTCCTGGGATTAGAGATAAATCGATGAAGGCACGCCAAGGGAGAAGCCTTCGATTCCCTCTGGGCTGGCATTCCAGCTTAAGGGAGACTGTAGTTTTCCAGCTATCGCTGAACTGCAGCGTCAAGCAGCCCACGAAAGAATGGCTAATGGAAAAGATGCTGAGAATTCAGTTTAAAAAAAAACTGCAGTCCACCAGCAGTGGTGCAATTCAAAAAAAATTTGAATTACTACTGGTAATTACTACCGGTTCTGTGGGCATGGCTTGGTGGGTGTGATGTGGGCATGGCATGATGGGCGTGACAGGGGAAGGTTACTGCAAAAATCCCCATTCCCTCCCTACCCCACTAACCTGCTTTCCAGCTCCGTTCTCCTGTGCAGGGCAACAAAAGAAGACCCAGCCAATCAGCTGGGACTCAGGAGGCAGAGAATAGATGGGGGGCGGGGCCAGTCAAAGGTGGTATTTGCCATTTTCCGGACAACTCAAAATTTCTACTATCAATTCTCTAGAACTGGTCAGAACCTGCTGAATACCACCTTTGGCCCACAGGTTGCTTATCCCAGATTTAGTTGTGCAGGTACCTCACCCTAGTACATATGATTAACATGCCCAGAAAGGCCAATGAGAGCAAGAAGACAGCTAATGAATAGAAAGCTTGGCCCTCCTTGTTTCTGAGTGCACAGAAACATATTGTTGCTTCTCCAAAGACCAGTCAATAACCACTGGAATTCAGAGATGCCTACAGAAGCTGATGCTTTGTTCAAAATGAACACTGGAGCATTGCACCACCACAGATTATTTGTTTGTTTGTTTGTTTGCTTGCTTGCTTGTTTATTTATTTATTTATTTATTTATTTATTTATTTATTTATTTGTTTGTTTGTTTGTTTGTTTGTTTGTTTGTTTGTTTGTTTATGCATTTTATTGGCTGCCCATCTTACCATAAGGTAACTCTCTAGGCAGCTTACAGTTAGATATACAATTAAAACAGAAAATGTTAAAATCAGACATTAAAACCAAGGATATGTGGGGAGGGAGGAGGCAGAGTGATGGGAAGTGGGATCTGTTATTACTCAATTAACCACCTCCATTGTGCTATTCGCCCACTGGGGCTCCAAGCCAACTGCAAGGGCCCTGTCTTTAGGCCCTTACGAAAAGATAGGAGAGTTGGGACCAACCTCACATCGGAGGGCAAGATGTTCCAGCAGGCAGGAGCCACAGCAAAGAAGGCCTTCCTCCTGGACTCCACCAGGTGGACTAATTGTATTGACTGGGCCCGGAGCATGTCTCCTCTGCCAGCACGAGTGGTACCGGCCAATCCCAGTGGGGGGAGATGGTCCCTCAAGTAACCTGGACCCTTCTTTAATATGTGCATGTAGTGTCACAACTCACAAACAAAAAGGGCTACAGTTTCCATTGCAATGGTAGAGTACTTTTTTTTTAATCATCTGCTTATGTTTGATGCGCCTTATGCAGGGGTGGGGATGCTGGGGGTTCGCGGGAGTTCAGGAGAACCCTTCGCTAAGATTCTGCACAGTTCAGAAAACCCCCAAATCCCACTCCTGGCTGGCCCTGCCCACCCACCCTCCTTGGAGTCCCCACACGGCCCATTTTGGATGCAGGTAAGTGCAGGGCGGACGGGGAGACTCGGGGAGGGTGAAAAATGGGCCACACAGAAGTTCAGGAAGCCTCTGGTGCCCAGGGAGGGCAGAAACACCCCATATGGTGCAGGAGGCTGACTAGGCCACACCCACCATGGCCACGCCCACCCAGCAACTGGGCAGAGAACCCCTTGCTAAAATCTTTGAAGCCCACCCTTCCCCCATGGGTGCCTCCCACTGCATATGCCAATTTTTTTTTTAATGTACTCTTGAAAGACAGGACTTTATAGTGGAGCTATTCCTATTAGTGAGGTGGTCACTTCATTGGATCTCAGAATGTTCAACAAACTAGAGAGTTCCCAAATGATCCCTTCAGCTGGAAGAAAGGGGCTTAGTCCTATTTGATATAAGCAAATAGAGTGCCACAAAAGAATCACCTATATATTAATGGTATTAGAGCTGGCAGTAAGTGATCAGGGAAGGGATCTTGGAATCAGCATGGACAATTTTAACCCAGTGTGGGTTTGCTACCCAAAGGGGGGAAAAAATCCCTGTTTGAAATGATTAGGAAAAGATCTGTGAATAAAACATCCAATATAGGAACAGTTTCACACATCAAAACTTTACTTAGCCCTGCCAGGTGCCCCCAGCATCTCTGTGTGGGTTGCAAGTAGATGTTAAAAGAGAATAAGCAAGCAAAGTTGACTGAAAGTCATCTGACCTAAATTTTCAGAGAAGACATTGCAGTCCATCCAAGGTCCTTTGAAGCTCCATAGGTTTTACAGATCAATTTGCTATTATTCAAAAATTACCAGATAAGGTTTGATTTTTAAAAATAATGCATTACTGTTTTTGTTTTTTTTAATATCCGATTGCTGCTTTTAGAGTAATGTTTCTAGCTAAAATGTATCCAGTAGCTTTTAAAAGGCTTATATGTTTCATTTCACCCAGTTTCTTTTTTAAGATAAATTGGTTCACAGGCTACGATACCAGCATCAGACTACATATATTTATTGGCTCATAGATGAGATTTTGCTTTGGTTTTTATTAGGATTAAGGAAAATAGATCTGGAATTTCCACCTGGAAACAGGAAGCCTTGTAGAAATGGATAAAACTTTGCTTGTTTGTTGCATTTTGTTGACTATTTTCCTTTTCAGGCAGGATCCAGAGAAATTAGATGCCTTTATCATGGACAAAGCCCTTCTGGATTATGAAGTATCCATTGATGCAGACTGTAAACTTTTGACGGTGGGAAAACCATTTGCAATTGAAGGTATGAAACAACTCTCTAAAACTGTGTTTTATATGACCATTTTATTTGTTGTTTTCTACATATCTTTTATAGCAGTGGGGAATGGGGAGATGCCCAACCACTGAAAACCTTGGAAGGCATCCAAATTGTAGTTGTTAGTGTCACAGAATGTCAAAGAATAAAAATCCTGGGGCATAATCATACAAATTGCATTTAATGAATACTATATAATGTTGTTTATACCAGCAAGTAATTGAATTCCAATTTTAAATTAAAATCAAATTAAATCTTACTTTTGGATGTTCACTATTTAGGAGTCCCTCCTTGGTTCACAGCAAAACAAAACACACACGTTGTTTATCCTACAAAACACCTTGCTATATTGAAAAATGAAGAATATCCATAATCAAAGAAAAAAATCACCAGAGTAGGAAATAACCATCCATGACAAGGTGGGAAAGAAGTGTTAAGAATAGTGAGGTTCAGTGGTCTGCATAATAATGGATGGTTGCTGCTTTTCAGATTTATGTGAGGAAGGAAAGAAGGGAGGGAGGAGGGAGGGAGGGAGGGAGGGAGGGAGGGAGGGAGGGAGGGAGGAAGGAAGGAAGGAAGGAAAAAAGACAAAGGCAGAAAGAGGGAGGGATAGAGGGAAGGAGGGGGTTGAGAAATGGTGTAAAAGAGAGGAAGAGAGAAAATAAAAGTGAAAGAGGGAGGAAAAAGGGAGGGAGGGAGGTGGGAAGGCAGGCCTTTGAGTATTTTTGTGATTGCCATCTGGGGGCAAGCAAAGTACAATGTCATGACTTATGTCCCAGTTCTTATTTCTGGCAAATATGGACTTTTAACTTTCTACAGCATGAATGGTTCCACTCTGTGAAACACTTAGTTAGTTCAAATAGACAACCCTTAGAGTGAACCAACCCAGCTGGCTAAATGTAATTTCCTGCATATCCAAACACACAAGGGCATCACTTAATATAAAACGATGTCATATTTCCCAGATGCAAAACATGGTACAGGAATTACTGATCTCCTGCTCTTTTCCAGTTCTGTGCAAGGACTTCACTAATAGTCATGAATTGGCATGTGATTATACAAGCAATTAGAAATCCCCATTGGCAAAATCGCAGGGTTTTCTGGAATGTGTTCACTTAATAGGCATCTTCTTTTTAACTGGTGTAAACCTGAGGCTCTCTTTCTCAGTTGAAAAATGTCATAACACCAATAATAATAGGTGCCAATACCAAAACTACTGGAGCATCTTCCTCTTGACCCATTCACTCTTCCTTTATATATTTATTTTCTGATTCATGCCTCATATATTTTCAAGGTATCATCAGACCATCTCAATATGTTTCTTTTATTCTGGTCTTCTACTTTTGTTTTAGTCCACATTTGTTCAGCATCCATTCATCCTTGATCCCATATTTTCTTGTTTTATTGCACACACTTCTTTTATAAGCAATCTCCACTTCAACTTATTTTTATATTTCTTATGTCACAGCAAACTCACAATAGGCAAAAAGCATGCCCTTACACACATTGCATCATTAAATTCTCCTTTGTGCAATGCAAATAATTCAGACCAACCACACAGCAACATCTGCATGGAAAAAGTACATGCACATTCATATTCTCAATGCAATAATAATAGCAATGTGATCCCAAGCATTCCATTTCATTCCATTCATTCTTGCTTATACATCACTTCAAACAAGCAAATTTAAGTAGCCCTTCATAAATACAGAACATGGAACAATTGCGGGACTGTTGTTAGCCCTCATGAGTTTGTGATTCAGTATTCAATCATTCACTAAGCATTATATCTCTTCTCTTACATCCATCATATCACACTAATTTCCCTCAAAATACTGTGCATTTTCTCTGAGTTTTTTAATTTTAATAATTTCTCTATCTTTGTCTACTTTCTTTATAACTCTTTTTTTTTTGCTGTCTCTGAATATGTTATACAATATATTTCCCTCATCTTTATATTTTGCAACAAATGTTCTCTTGAGTGGATTCTTTTGTCCCCTACAATCTCTTTCACATCATCCTTTCATCAAGCTTCCTTTTCATTCTTAGCATAATCACACATATTTCTGTGGAACTCTGTAACACAATTCTTTTCACAGAAACATGAAGTTAGAGATTCCAGAAATCATTTAATGCAACTCCTTGCTCACTGCAGGCTCGAGCTTCTCTTACAAATGACCATCAACTTCTGTGTAAGGACCAACACCAAAGAATAATTCACCAGACAACTTTTTCCACTCAGAAAGTTTCTCCTGGTATCTAGCCTGAATCCATCTCCTTATAGTTTTAACTCACTAGTTCTACTCTCAGGAGCTACAGAATACATTTCTCTTATCTCTTTTCCAAACAGCTTCTGCATTACTTTCCACTCATCCTGTTGGAAGAATAATCTAGATAGAACATTTCCTTCTCATTTCTTTCTTTTACTTCCAACAATCTGGGTCCTCATTTTACTTACCTCAGAAGGATGGAAGGATGGAAAGATATATATATCCCTTTCTTCACAATCTCCACGTTCACTTCCCTGCATGTATTTATCGGCCGAGTTCCCTAAAACCCAGACTAGCTTCATTGAGATATCATGCATCCTTCCTCTTTCTCTTTATTTCACTCATACACAGTTCGTTTCACTTTATTAATTGTTGCTTCTGATCATTTACTCCTTTTTGCATTTCATCTTCCATATGCCAATGTCATTACCAGATGGGTCAGTGGATATTAACCTCCCTTTCCCATATTTATGATGTGAGCATGTTGGTGTAAAATTCTCAAAATGGCTCACAACAAGTAAGCAGAAAAACCACCGGGAAGAAAAAAAGCATAAAATCATATAATCCAAAGCAGTCTTAGTAAGTGCAAATCTTCCATCAATCTCAAAGCCAAAAATACTGATTTTATAATAAGTGAGAGAGGAGATCTCATTCAGAAATGTTGAGGGCTGACAGAATGAGAGATCAACGACCCTGAATTTCTTTCTGTAAGGCTCATCAGTTTGGTCTTTTGTCTCCCACATCAGTTCTTCCATTTTGACTTTCAGTGCTCCAGAATGACATTTTACTGGATGTTTGTGGGAAATTAATATATTTCTTTCTACCCATTTCTGAACTGCTACTGCCCTTTCAGATAAACTTGAGGGAAGTGGACATTAATGTAACATTATATTATGTTAGCTCCATTTAAACTCAGTTTAATAGATACAAAGGGGAAAAATATCAGAAATCATAACTTAATATCATATTGGGCTTCTGAGCTCAATTTATTTATTTGTAAGAAAGAAGTCTTTAAATCAGACTGTCAGGGCTCCAAAAAATCCACCCTCATTCAGATCAAAATCTCTAGCCACATCTCAGAGAAAAGTAAATTGGTTTATTAGAAGTTGTCATGTTGGTGCGTGTCTGGGTGCAGCCAATACTAAATCACATCATAAATTTCCCCCTTGACCCTGGTCTTCCCCCCCCCCCATCCCCTGGATGTGACTTCCCCCCCACCCCCTGGATGGGACACATCCATCTCCAAGAGTCATCCATCATGCTCTCCAATAACCTTCTTATGCTCCAACAACTTTGATCTGCCGGGATAATTATCTAAGCATTTAAGGAATGCCTTATTTTCCCCCACTCCCTTTTTCTGGTAGCTAAAAAGACCAAAGGAGTATCTTTTTAGTTGACACAGACTTCCCTAATCTGGTGGGCTCAAAATACATTCCAGAAATGCTCAGCCAGCATGATTCTGATGATTTGGGAGATGCCTGGGAGCAGAACTGCAACACCACCGAGTTTACCAGGTTGAGGAATTAGAATGACTTACGATGGAGGAACCATCATGACATAGTTTATCCTAGTGGACAATCACTTCAATATAAGCCAGCAGTGCAGCTGCCAATTAAAAGCCAGTCCTAGACTCTATTAACAGAAGGATAGAATCAAGTTCACGTTAAGTTTTAATTACCACTTGATAAAGCCTTTGCAAGACCACACTTGGAATATTGCATCCAGTTTTTATTTTATTTTATTTATTTATTTATTTGTTTATTTATTTAGTCAAGCAATTATAAGACAACAGATATAAGTATAAACATAGTTATGGATACATGAAATGGATACATACATATAAGAAAAATAAAAAAAATAAAAATAAAAGGAATAAAATAGGACAGGGACGGTAGGCACATTGGTGCGCTTATGCATGCCCCCTACAAACCTTTTAGGAAAGGGGTGAGGTCAATAATAGACAGTCTAAGGTTAAAGTTTTTGGGGTTGGGGAAGAAACCACAGAGTCAGGTAGAGTATTCCAGACATTGACCACTCTGTTGCTGAAGTCGAATTTCCTGCAATCAAGTTTGGTGCGGTTAACCTTGAGTTTGTATCTATTGTTTGCTCTTGTATTGTTATGGTTGAAGCTGAAGTATTCATTGACAGGTAGGACATTGCAATGTATGATTTTATATACTATACTTAGATCAGAACGAAGACGGCGTAGTTCTAGGTTTTCTAGGTCTAGAATTTCAAGTCTGGTGGCATAAGGTATTCTGCAATGAGTAGAGGAGTGGCGAACTCTTCTTGTGAAATATTTCTGGACTTTCTCAACTGTGTTAATATCAGATACGTAATGCGGGTTCCAGACTGATAAGCTGTATTCAAGTATTGGTCTAGCAAATGTTTTGTATGCTCTAGTTATTAGTGTGATATTACCAGAGAAGAAGCTACATAGGATTAGGTTAACAACTCTTAATGCCTTCTTGGCTATGTAGTTACAGTGGGCTCTAGCATGTAGATCATTAGAGATGAGAACTCCAAGGTCCTTGACAGAGTTTGGATCATCAACAAGGTCTTGAAAAAGTTTAGGTCGCCATATTAAAAAAGCATATCCAGGCTCTGGAAATAGTGCCAAGAAGAGCAACAAAGATGATTTGGGGACTGGAGACTAAAACATATGACGATGGGTTTCTGGAATTGCATATGTCTAGTTCAGTGGTGGGATTCAAAAAAATTTACTACAGGTTCTGTTGGCATGGCTTGGTGGGCATGGCATGGCGTGGCTTGGTGGGCATGGCTTGGTGGGTGTGGCTTGGTGGGCATGGCAGGGGAAGGATACTGCAAAATCTCCATTCTCTCCCCACCCCACTAACCTGCTTTCCAGCTCTGTTCTCCTGTGCAGGGCAACAAAAAAAGACCCAGCCAATCAGCTGGGACTCGGGAGGCAGAGAATAGATGGGGGAGGGGCCAGTCAGAGGTGGTATTCCAAACTACTCAAAATTTCCGCTACTGGTTCTCCGAACTACTCAAAATTTCTACTACCGGTTCTCCAGAACTGGTCAGAACCTGCTGAATACCACCTTTAGTCTAGTTTAATAAAAAGGACTAGCGATAACATGATAGCATTTTCCCAATATCTCAGGGGCTGCCACATAGAAGAGAAAGTGAACCTCTTCTCCAAAGCACCTGAAGGCAGGACAAAAATCAACGGTTAGAAAATAATTAAGGAGAGAACCAACCTAGAACTGAGAAGAAGTTTTCTGACAGTTAAAACAATTAATCAGTGGAGCGACCTGCCTTGAGAAGCTATGGGTGCTCCAACACTGGACCCCTGCCTTACAGAGTATAGAAGGATTCCCACCAGTCCATTATACCAACCCCTTCTCTCTCTAGGTGGGACATACTTACAAGGAAACAATGCAAGAGTGAAAAAGCTTTTAATCCATAATCCTGTACTATTTTCTAGAGCCGTGATGGCGAACCTATGGCACACATGCCATAGGTGGCATGCAGAGCCATTTGTGCGGGCATGCGAGGCCCCAGGCAAACTTATCTCACTGCACATGCGTGCGCCTCTCAGCTGATTTTCGGGCCCTTTTTGGAAATACCGGAAGTGACAAAACGAGCCCATTTTTCACCCTGCAGAGGCTTCCTTCAAGGCTCTGGCAGACTGAAAAAGGCTTCAAACAAGCTGAAAGTCAGCTGAGAGGTGCAGTGCAGGTGGGGGGGCAGCATGGGGGGGGGGTGTGGGGCGCAGTGGGGGGGGGGGTGGGGGGGGGGGTGCATGCATTTCCTTCTGGGTGCTGGCATGTGAGAGTGCATGCACAAGCGCACAGGCAATTTTTTGGCACAGGAGCCCAAAAAGGTTAGCCACCACTGTTCTAGAGGATGGATGAGAAGATGTCCAGTTCTTTGCTAGCTAGTAAAACGTCAAGCAAGTCAAAGTGGGTTTACAGTACCAGAAGAAGCCTGTAGGTCAAGTAGGAACTCCTAATTTGCAGATCCACTCATATGTAAGCCTCTCTGACTGTGAGTTTCTGCTGTTTGTGAGTAATTTGTATATCAGCGAACAGTGCCATTGACAGCAGAACTTTCCCCACAGAGAAAGCAAAATTCTCACTCTTGCAAAAGTTGTTGTTGCTATGAGCCAACATAGAAGCTGATTTCTTACTGTTCAGTGAGCTAAAGGAACAAGTATCGGAGAGGAGTTCCGGTGCATATTTTAACGAACATCTGCCAAAGCTACAATTTTAGATATTCTTGTTTGGCAATTATGGTCAAGAATCAACTAATGAGAAAATATACTGGTGTTATTCTTTTGCTAGGGTATGGTATTGGCCTTCCTCCGAACTCTCCACTGACCTCAAATATTTCTGAACTCATCAGCCAGTATAAGTCCCACGGCTTCATGGATGTCTTACATGACAAGTGGTACAAAATGGTACCGTGTGGGAAAAGAAGCTTTGCTGTGACCGAGGTAAGAAATGTCCCATAGGTCTTTCCAGCACTTGGAATAGATAAATCCATCCCTTTGAGTCTCTCTCTCTCTTTTTTTTAACTGTGTATTTATTTCAATCTCCTTCCATCCATGTTTTCTGGTTGGTCGTTGTTATAAAGTCTGCATAAAAGTCAATGTACATTTTCACATACCTTTATCCTAATGCATATCCCTGTTCTTGGTTATGTATATTTACTCAAACCCTTTCCTCTGGTAAAATTTATTTCTATGTTGCTTTCAGCATTGGCATTCCTTAGTCCTAACGGACAAATTATTTCTGGTTGTGTGTGTGTGTGTGTGTGTGCATGTGTGCGCATTGTTTAACTAGAAGATTGGATAGTAAAATTTAACTATATGAACATCTAAAGACCAATTGCATTCTAAGTTGCATGTTTGAGCACATGTAAATTAAGATAGATGATTAACAAACCACTTTTCCTCCCATGTCAATCTTCATTTCATTCATTCCTAGGGGAGGGAGGGAGGGAGGGAGGGAGGGAGAGGGAGAGGGAGAGGGAGAGAGAGAGAGAAAGAGAGAGAGAATAGACGTTCATGAGCAGAGCCATATCAGGAGCTTATACCAGGTATAGTTTTGACAGCATGAACATTCTTGACATGAACATATTTTATACAATCAAATAGCAGTCTTGAAGGACCATGAGTAGCTAGGGCAGAGGAAATGATCTTTCATTGTTAAAGCTTGGAAAGCTTTTTTCCCTCAACACCAATATAAAATCCAGGTGATGATTTCTAATGAAAGAGAAGAGGATAAAACTGCTTCCTGCCCTGCTCTTAATGCCGTGACTCCTGTTTATGTGTCCGTTAATTCATGCCTGCTATTAACAGCCCATCCACTTCTGTTATAAGTGCTCACTACCCTGGTTACTTTGGGAACCTGCATGCTAAAATGAATGAACCTGAGTTTATTATGCTTCAGCTTGGCAAAATGTAGGGCATATCTCCTTAACTGGCTTTAATACACACACACACACACCAAAAAAAAAAAAAAAAAAACCTAGCAAAGTGCAAAAGAAGCAATTGGGAAACTGATTCTCTCTCCTAATAATAACTTACCTGGTAATCTCACCGTTACAGTATTCTTATTATTTAGAAACTGCTACCTCTGGGCACTGATGTCCACAGAGGTCCATTTGGACATCCAGCTCTCGGTCAAGAAATATGCATACTGTGGACCCATCCGTAGAAATATAAGTGGGCCAAAATTGTTTCAGAAATAACAGAATTTAAGCAGAACAAGACCTTATGACTTTCATCTTGATTTTAATGTGCTTATTGCAAGACAGGAGTGTTTTAGGTTCTCCAGCAAAAATGTGGCCCAAAATGTACTGTTCTTTGAGAAAGAACAGTTTTTAAGGTAGCACTCCTATCCTCAGCAAACAGTGATCTGTGATCTCCTTGGTACTGTTGGAATTTTATTCCTTACCAAGTTCATTCTGAGCTGGGAAACAAAAGATAGTCAGGCAGCTTCATGAAATTAAGTTCTTTAATTGTCACTCAAGTGCAGTGACAACAAGCTATGAGGAGGGTGGCCAAAGAAACTCCCTTCTTCCAGCACATTTTATAATTATTTATATAAAGGAGACCTTATCTTATTTCCATGGGTAAGTTACTTGCATGGCCTGTGAAAGCTAAAAAGTGAGAAGGCCAACGAAATTGTAAAGAAAATATTGGGAAACACGGTTTCAAAACATGATGTGATTTCTTAATTTCTTAATACAAAAGTGTAAATGCTCAAATACTAGATTCTATAAAATATCCTAAACAGTGCTTTATATTTGGAATCAGTATTGTCCTGGATAACATTCTGTTAAAAGGATTGATAAACAATACTTGTCTTTTACAGGATACCCATTTACAGGAATAACTCTTATTTTGCCAGAAAAACATTGGCTTACGAAGTATGTAATTTCTCTTCAGTTCTCCTATAACAAGCAGCTTGAAGGCTGAAAAAAGACAGCCTATTAATCTTTTGAAAAGAAAAAAGAAAACATTTATTTTGCTAACACTGCAAAAAAGATGGGAAAAGGTGTTTCTTTAGAAGCTGGCCTCTGTCAGAATTGCCTCAAAAGCAAACTCAGGATGTAGCATTTAAAATCAAACTAGAGAAGTGTAGTCCATCCCTACTGGAAGAGAGATATAAAGTCTGCAGGAAAACTGTGTTCCCATGCAGCCTGAATTAATTACTTTGGGGGATGCTTTGGGGGGTGACATTTCTCTGCAGACCACCAAAATTTTCTCGTGGACCACCAGTGGTCCCCAGCCCACTGGTTGGTGACCACTGAGGTAGAGCATTGAAAGATTACACAAATTGGTAATTGCCAGAGATGCTGAAGAGACATATCGTTCCTTTTCCCTCTCATGTAATCCCATCATTTGAAAACTTTGCTGTAATACTTATGTAGAATTCTTCTAATCAGCTCTAAGTATTTTGAAGACTTTTAGTTGATTAGCTTTAATCAGTTTGATGAGCAATGATTTATCACCAAGGGGCTAAAATTAATAAGAAGTTAAACAATGATTATATTTGGATCAAAGTGGAACAGTTGAAATAATCTTGAGAACTTGAAATCAAGAAGATATGACTCAGGAGGCTTCAGGTTGCTAATGGGTAATCAGGGTCTGGCCAAGAACTATTTCAAAAACTTAACTACTAATTAAAAACACAGTGGGTTCATTTATTTGTTTGCCAAAGTGTTAGTTTTATATAGACCTGAGTATATGTCAAAATAATATATGTGACTGTATGAATTGTACAGTGCAATTCAGGGTTCAAAACCTAGGTACATTTACACAGCCATTTTGTTTTTGTTTTCGTTTTTTAAGCAAAAGTAAATCTTTCATGCCACCTGAACAAACTTTAGCAGTTATGATTTTGAGATAGGTGAGAGGACAGGATTTTTTAAAAAAAAGGGAACTCCCCTTAAGAATACTAATTCAATGGAAACAAAACAGAATTTCAATTAGCAAATCACATTAATGAGTGTTGACAGTGTGATCAGAAGCAAGCTCCAGGGACACTATCTATTTGTCTATCTCTATATTGGATTTTTAAGACAATTTAATCATCAAATGACTCCAGGCAGCATATAACAACATAATA